CCTTTCTCAATCGAAGCTGTACGGCCCATCTGCGTCCAGTAGCTACTGATACAATACATGCCCTCGACCGCGAGCGCGGGCCGGATTCCTGTATATGCTGTTGTTGCCGTCGAGGTCAATTGTACACTGATTTCCTCGTTGCCCCGCGGATCGTCGACAGATCTCTCGAGCTTGAGGGATCGAGTATCCGGCAGATGAAGAGTCATTCTATTCGACGAGGGCGGAGACCCTCCTCATCATTCCAGCCGGCCGGCCTCCTCTCCCAAAGGAACTCTGGAACCATGTGCTCGACCTTATTGAAGCTTCAAATATCTGGCTACCGAGACAGTGTACCGCCAGTTGACTTTCCGGAGAGCTGAGGATGGCTTGAGCTTCGGGGCATCATTCGCTTGCCTGCTCCAATGATGTACGCAACGCTTTTGACTCTATTCTCCGTCAGAAGGATTTTTCTCAACTGAGAAAGAGAGCACCTTCCGGGTTCCCTTCGATGTTGTCGACCCGAGACAGTTTCTATCTACCCCCTCGACTGTACATGGAATTGTACCCAAAAATAAAATTCCGATAAGCGGGCGGATCCACTTGTCGTCCTTCAAGCTGAGGGGGCAGGGACAGAGGAATCTTCCACGAGAAAAGCAAGGGGTCTTGAGCGAGTACGCGTTCACTGAAAAGTGTCCATGCGAGAACTCGTCATCTAAGAGGCTGATCAGTGATCACTATTGCATGAAACATCTCCTTGTGTCAACAATGCCATCAATGCTATTTAGCCTAGGGTCCGAGAACTCGAGTGTAGTGCTGCTCATCGAATCGGCATCTCCGGCTCGCATGTACTCCGTCGCCCAGCCCACCTGACGAGAATCGCAGAGGCGCCCCAATGCCGCGAGAGAAGTTTTCCTGGTTTCAGTTTTCTCGGGTTCCCGTTTGAAGTCTCCTCAGTGGGATATTCCTAGACGTTCTGGAGTCGGGAGCCCTGACGAGGTAATCGGTCATGGAGTGGACGGTAGCTTCAGGTGATGACTGGAGTGGAGATTGTAATGAAGCAGCTTTCTCGATCCACGCATCACGATGACTGATTACTGATTAGGTAGATTGATGTGAAGGTTATATGTTTATTATGTGAATTATATGTTTTTCTGACTCGCGGGGTATCGAGAGGCACTATACGTATTTTTAGAAAATTTCTGACCCAAACACTGATAGGCGATGATTGTCAATATTTATCCAATCAATTAGCGAGCTCAATTACCCGAGCCTCCTTCAATAATTGGCTTGCACTCTACAGGACTTGAAGGAGCAGCCCGACTCGTCGGCAGGAATCTGGGAGTCCGTCCCGCCAATGGATCGGTTCTTTCTCGCGCCGCAATACTGTCACCATTCGTTTCCATTCTCACCTTGGGGACCTGCCCTTAGGCGATGAATGGGGAGTGGATCGCCGATTTTCTATTCGCCACCTTCGTGAGCGCATAAACGACGATTTTCTGTCACGATCGAAGAATACGTCATATGGTGATAGTGGAATCCCTTTTCATGAGATTCCATAGAACTCCGATGATTCAAGAGGCTCTCCCGAAGTTTTCAGAGCTATGGAATGAATCACTGTACCATACACGGTTTTTGCCGGAATGCCCCAATCAGATCTCGTTCGCCCGTTCGACAAGGGGCTGTATTCGCCGTCTTTCAAAAACTGATCCCAGCGATCAGCGCAAACTTATTGAAGTCGAATGGGTGCATTAGAAGGTTGGTCGAAGAGTCGATGCGATCTCGATGAACGATTCAGTCACGTTTTCCCTCATGAGGATCATCAGGTTCGCAGCTTCCATGGGAAAACTCAACCAACTCGACATATCAGATTCAATGTACGGTCCCCGAGAAGCTCGTTTCGCTGAAGAATCTCGCCGGGAACCCTGGGGGCCCTGAACCCCCGGATAAGGATCAAAAGTAGACGAGAGCGGTCGAAGCGCTTCCCCCCGAAGGCCCCGAGAGAACACTGACGTTTCCGATGCGTATTGGGAAGGAAGCCCACTTCAGTGCCGATTACTCTCGGAAGCCGGAGCAAAAAATCAAAACGTGATCAGGTGATGAATCACAAAGCCAGACGAAGGTGATAATCGAATATATCCAAGATCAAGGTCGCATCGAAAAAGCTTTTTGGAAAACATTGCGTCATCTTTCCGGGATGGTATGACGCTTCGTTGCTCCAATGAAGCGGAACGATCTACTCGGGCCAGAATTGAGCATACCGCAGAATCGCGCGCGTGTGGACCCATTCTGGGAAGCGCTCCTGACACGAGACCGAGCGACTGGAGAGGCTGAACATTGAGGATACCACAGGAACTCAACTTGATTCCTCACCTCTGATTCCCAGGAATGGCTCTCGACTCTCGACTAAGGGGGGCATGGACCCCTCATCCGGATCAGGGTATTTTCTTATTTCGATCAGCCGAGAGGGAATGGAACGATATGAATCCCACGGAATCTAATCTTATCGACGTTTCGGGGCGCCCACCCAGAACATCGAAATCAACATGGCGAAATTCTCAATAATTCGCATGCTTCCACCCTGAATAATGATCGTCTGTTCAGCTTCATTACCGACGAGTGCGATAGAGCGACTAAATCCCTCCTGAACGACTTCCGCATCGGTCCTAAAAGATACATCGATTACGTCAGTATCAGCTTCCATGACACGGGCATTAGGTAATCATCGACTCTACGTCTACCCGGTGGACTGAGGTCTGCTGACAGCGAGTTCTCTGAAAACGAGCGTTGACCCGGGCCATTCCCCCTGCCTCCTCAGATACTGAGGCGGCAGATACTGGGAGCGATTTCCGCTTACGAAGTCTCTTTCCTGCGGGGAAGGAGCGCCCTTCTCGCTAATCTCCCCCAGTGCCTCGTGGAATTGTAGAGGATGTCCCGAGACCTCCTGTGGAGGGAAGGGTCTCTTGCGGAGCGATAACCTGCGAAGACTTCGCGGCCCGGCTGCTATACGAGGTCCAAGCGAGCTCAAGTCCCCAAAGGGTCCGGCAGGACTTGCATCGAGTCGTTCCGTGAGATGCGACACTGCGCATCTTAAATGTCCTTGTCGGACATCGGTTCATAACCTTGATCGCGGATACCACGATTGGGGATGTCTACGATATGATAGTATCTGCGACTCGATTATACAACAGATCATTTATCAACGATGAGTGTCCCTTAACTTCGTAGAGGGTGTTGCAGGACAGAACCTCATTGCCAGCCGATCCGGCCGCGGCTGCATGATGGAATCGCCTCAATGGTTTCGCGTTGAAATCGATGCAAATCGGGGTGTTTGTCCCTCCAACCGGGACCAGAGTCTGTTCCCTCGGCGTTCTTATCCGAGTTCGAGGTTCTCTGAGCGACCCGAGCAGTGCACGGCGGCATTTGCGTCGCTGCAGCACCCTCCCACCGCTTCGGAAGCTGTCAACGTTGTCGTCTATGTGACATGAAGTCTACAGTGATGGGAGCGAGGCCGTTTGTGTTCAGGCGGGCCGTCAGCGGTCCCTGTCTGACTGACTGCTAGGTGGGAGCCAGTAATCTGCGTCTTACTCATTACTACCGCGTGTGAATGTGTGACGCAGCGAAAGCTCACGAGCATGTACTATACGAGCTCGCTCGTGGTCGTTGTTGTTGGCGCCGTCTGCTGCTCGCTCGGTACCATTGATAAGCAACTACCCAAGTGCTCCAGACGAGTGGACTCCTCTCGAGGCGGAGCCACCTTGCTTGCTGCGCCAGACCGCGCAATAGTACATGGTGTTCCTGCGTAGCGCACAAGCAACCCTGATAACAGCCCCACCTGGTGGCAAATGGCATCGAACGGGCATTGATGCCTCGCTTCAGACGGAGCTCACGCTGTCCACGCTATATAAGTACCGAGTTCGGACCGTGCTCGGACAGAAGCACTAACTTGTGACCCAACACACAACGACGTCGCGAGCTCTCACTGCGTCGATCGACCATCGCTGTTTCGGAGGATACGGTTCTCATCTTGTACGACTTCGTGAACGGTGCGACGGATCTCGAGGCGAACTTCGATTATCTTATCGCCAGGATAAGTCTGTTGGGACTCTTTGTTCGGACTACATCGCCATCGCTCTGACGTCCGCCGATAAGCAAGCCGCTTCGAACCATGTGTATCGTTTGTCGGTATTATTGGCTTCTTCTGTTGTGGAGTGTAGAGATCGTCAGAGGAAGCCATGACACAAGTCCAAACAACATCTCTATGCATATACAAGGAGGTGAGTGTGGCATCACTGATTGTGAATGGTGTCGACGAAACTCTGGCAGAAAGTGATACTTCTTGGAATCTCGAGCTTTGTCTCCGAATCCGATTTCTGGTGCTCCTGGATCAAGGTCCGGGTTCTTGCGTCAATCCCGCCGATTCTACCGTACGAACGGAAGTTGAGTGTTGTGGTCCCCTCTGGATTCAGACTGTCGTCGAGTGTACTTTTGCCTCGAACATTCCTTGCTAGTTCTCCGACGAAGCTGTTCATACCGTCGCGGTCAAGTGGGACTTTGAAGTTGCGATTTGAGGCTCTGGAAGAGGGGTGTCCCTCGTTCGAAAAAGGATATGCTCGTTTGTATGTGGAGACGTCTCAGCCTTGAGAGACCGCCATAGCTTCCTGTTTGCCTACAGACTTTCCAGGGCCTCGAGGCGCGACTGTGGAGAGCCTCGTGAAACGCATATCGATTTAGTCGAATAATTCACAGAATTCCCGTTGTTTGTAACCATAAGTGTATGAGTAACCCTCACCGTGACTCCGATCAACCTGCAGAGAGGGTTTCCGCTTTGGCCACATGTCCTTAACGCGACGTTCCGACTGTCTGGTTGGTTCTGATCGGCTTTTCGGAGCTTCGGCTTTGCAGGAGGGGGAACAGCTTCCGTTGGTTCAGATCTCTGGGTCGAACTGTGTGCTCTCGATGGGCAATCTCGGGCTCCCTCGAAAGGTTCCCGGGAATTTCCGCTTGCGAAATTTTGACACAGCATGCATTTTCCAGATGGATTTCTTTTCGCGAAATGTGGGAAGCCAACCGCACGTCGTCAGCGGATCGTCGGTGGCGAGGTAATTTTTTGGGGTGTCCCGCAGATTGGAACAAGTGGGTAGAGGATCGTGGATGATTCTACTGAGTTGATCTCTACGTTTTCCTTATCAGGATGTCTACGACGGAGAGTTCCCGTGGCTGGTGAGCATACAGCTCGTGCCTGCTCTAGGGGAGAACAAATGTGGCGGTACCATCCTGAACGACCGATGGATTCTCACAGCAGCTCACTGTTTTCATGGCTACAAGTAAGTTATCCGAGTCGTGAAACTTCGGAGCGAAAGAGTATCGATTGAGCTTGAGTGACGGTGTTCTCATCTCTCCGTGCAGGAAGAGCAACTTCGTGGTTCGAGTGGCGGACTACAACTTGCGACGCAGAGAATCTCGCAAAGAACAAGCTTTCACATCGAAGATCGAGAGGATCGTCGTTCATCCCGAATATAGGAAGGACCGAAAGTACGACAACGACATTGCCCTGGTTCGTGGAAACATAACTTTATGAAACTATCCTCCGGGTCACAAACGGGTCAATTAGAACGCTTGTTCCAGGGTGATCTATCACGTCCTTTCCTTGCAGATAAGGTTGTCCAAGGACATCAAGTTCTCACCCTATTCTTTGCCAGCCTGCCTTCCCACCTTGCGGTTGGCCTCTACGGCGGGAAAAAATGTCACGGTCATCGGATGGGGCAAACTCGCCGAAGAAGGCAAAGTGCCTGGTGAGATTCCTTCCCGAAATCCTCATTTTAGAGATCTCTCGAGCTGGGAGCACAACTCCAGATGATCTTGCGAATATAATCGGAATTCCCTTGCAGAGACGCCGCGTAAAACGTCGCTCGTAGTTTTCGAGAATTCTCAGTGTAACAATTGGTTGTCATCCCTGCGGATGAGGCTACTCGATAACCATCTTTGCGCAGGTATCGAGCGCGGTGGCAAAGATGCGTGTCAGGTAGGTTGAGATCTGTGAAGCCGACGTGTCTATCACAATTCCGAGTTTGGAGGCCCGGCCGGGAGATCGTTCCAATAACGGACCGTAACGATTCTTCTATTCGTATCCCTGCCAGGGCGACTCGGGCGGACCGCTGATGACGATCGAAGACGGTAGATACGTTGTCCTCGGGGTTGTATCAACCGGCTACGGGTGTGCAAGGCCCAACACGCCGGGAGTATACGCTCGAGTTTCATCCTTCGTCCCGTGGATCAATGATGTCATCAACTAAATCGTGCCAATCTTCGATTGATATTGGAACCGGACGGATCCTAGCGCCTCCTTCGCGGTAGGATCCGCTACCGCTCCCTATCTGCTCCAGAGAAATTGACGCTCAATCCTCCCGCCGGGGTTCTCGGAGGTGAATCCGAAGCCCGCGGCGATGCCTCGAAGGCCGCCGTAATCCTGGGAGTCTCCGCCAGGAAGTCCCACATAATTTATTCAAAACCCTCGGGTTGTGTAAATACGCTGTGCAGCTCATATATTCATAGTTCTGATGTATAATGTCTTATCCGATACCTGGCGACATTCACAATCCCGGAAGGCGAGATATTCTTGATTCTAAGGAGTTCATAGATTTTCCTTAATATCAGGCATACTTCACTCGATGCCGAGGAACGCCTGTTTGGAGGATGTTCCAAAATTATTCTCTCGGGAGGGGAAGATCGCTCCGCGAGTATTTCCTTCTCTGCGAGGTTTAGTTCTCGGGCATCCCCTCCACTCGCGGAGGTCTCCGAAATCCAAAGAGGCAAACCCCCGGGTGATATTGTAGTAGCAACAAAGCATACATATTAGGATATTCAGTCAGACTACACAGAGGCGGAGGAAGCAGAGTGCTATCGCATCGGAAGAGGAGAAATCCGAGAAAAACGAAACGACGGGCAACTCGCACAGATGTATCCAGAATCGAGCGCAGGTCCGACCGAGGAGGCGTGTCTGATGATACTCTCCCTTCAGCTTATCATACACCGGTTTTTCCCGCAAAGAGATCTCCGCTGTCACGCGCCTCAATCCTTAGGTAGTCTCTTCGGAGTCCCCCAGAACCTTGCTGCGCCCGCTGTGAGAATCACAGTATCTGTCTTCCGTGCTTGAAAATTGCCAAAGATGATCCCAAAGATTTTCCTGAATATACCGAGCGCCCCTTAAACTTGGAATGACCACAGTAGCTACGGATCGTCGAATACTCTGCGTTCCCTCTTGTAAGGCGTCCCGGATAACCGTTCGACTTTGGGGGGCGAAATCGTTCGAAGTGGTGGCGGGTAGAGAATCGGAGGACGGCTCAGGTTTCGATCTGGCCTGGTCTTCACACTCGAACCGCCCTGTTTCGGCGGATTCCTCGATCCGCCACAATTTTACTGCACCGATGAATTTCAGTTTTGCATCCTACAGAACCGAGAGTGCGTGCCGCAGGGTCTCCCACGCGGACTTTCAAGAGAAGAAACATATTTATGCGTGAATATTGAACTTCGCCCGCCGAAGGTGATATTCACATCCTTCACCGATCGTCATTTTACTCAGTCGCGCGGTCCCTCTCCCTGTTTAAGTTATTGGTCGGAAACCCCTATGGGGATTTTCCGCTCCATTTCGGCGGTGGTTACGCGTGAGGAGCATGTGTAATTTCGAACATCCGCCAAGTATGTTCGGTGAAGAGGCTATCAACGCAGCAAGCCTCGACATGAAATAAAAGCGTTTTATGTGTTCGATTCAGAGCCGAGGACCCCTGTTTGGAATACCTACCCCCTATAGGCAGATCCTTTATTGCAGGGTCGAGGGCTATGATCCAGACCCAACATCCATGAGCTCTATCAAGAACAATCTTATAAAGGTTTCGGATCCGATGCGAATTCTCGACGTCGAGGTCCGTTCATGAATTCAGAGAGCCTCTTCCACTTTCGCTGAAGGTATCGTAGTCTCGAAATCCACGGGAAAGTCCCAAGCTCTCCTAATCTCTCCTTATTATAGAGCAGTACGAGTCGAACCTCATGAAGAAGAGCTTTAATCTCTCAGATAGCGAACCTAGAGTCACAATAAGAGGTTTGATCGGGTAGCAGGTTTGAAATGTACGATGAAGCCTTGCGAACGGTGCCATCTCATTCGGAACAGTCCTCGTGCTGCAAGCAGCCATTAACGTGATGACACTCCGATGCTTACTTCCAGAACCAAGCTGAGCTATTAGCTTGCTGGATCTGGGCAGAGAGTTTATTCGAGGATAAAGATGCGGATGCATCTGGATCGTACCTGATGAAACCCATCCGGTAAGTTTGAGCAGCGGATTTCAATGACTTGCGAAATTCATTAACTACTCCATAAGGGTCCAAGGCTAGGTACGTACGTCTAGCACGCAACTCACCGTCATATGTGCGGAAGATGATCGGACTGCATTCGGGTCCGCGAATAGAGTTGAGAGGCTTTCGCCTCTGGCATAAGCGGACCGTTACCTCTACTATCACTTGTTTGGGTATCTGGAAGATGAGCGAGGCTTTAGCAGTGATCCGAACAGAGAGAAGGACAGCTGTCCGAAACGAACAGAATTCCAGCTCACCCAGGTTGGGAAACACAGTGGTCGCGGTTCCACTGCTCAGACCCGAATGTGGATTCCCCTTTGAACTTGCTCTAGGATTCTCTTTGCGCGACTCCTCATCATGACTGCCATTGAAGTACGGGTGCCGGAGTAATTGTTCACAGGTTGATCGCTTTGAAGGGTCTCGATCGAGACATTTCTGCCGGAAGTAATATCATTGAAACGTGTCTCCCGTATTTTCCGTCGTGAAAATCGGTGCGATCAAAGTTCATGAGTCGCTGTTCGAAAGAAGCTCCTCACCTTGAGGAAATCGATGGCGAACTTGTCGTTGTTTTTGGGAATCATGTCCTCCAGAGGTTCCTGTCAATTTCATGGATGTGAACAGTTCTCTCTGACGTGCAAAGCTTTTTCGAACCCTTTCCCCGCGATTCGACCTCATGAGCGTCTCTACTGCGCTCACCATGTGATCAGGCTCCGGAATCGTAACTCCAGCGAAGAAGTCGTTGCTCTTGAAGATCTGCAGATGGCGCGGTATCAGTTCTCCGACGGTTTTGCGTATCGAGTACAGTTGATCCACGTCTGATTTCCCGGGCCAGAGAGCCTCTCCTTCAAGAGAAGGAAGGGTACGTATCGAAAGGCTACGGAACGGTAGACGACTCGTGTGGCGTTCTGTTTGGGAACGTGTTGCTCCAAAGAAAGCAGACACAAACGATATCCTTACCTCGCATGAGTTCGGCAGCCACGCATCCAATTGCCCATACATCGACGCTGGGCCCATATTGCGTATCCCCCACAAGGAGTTCGGGGGCGCGGTACCAACGAGTAGCGACATAATCCGTATAGTTTTCCCCTGGGCTGAGGGTTCTGGCGAAGCCGAAGTCGCACAGCTTCACGACGCCTTCTTTCGTCAGAAGGATATTTTCGGGTTTCACGTCTCTATGAATTGCCTGTCGACAGAATATTCCTTCTTCCCGAAATAGGAACCGATAATATCATGAGGAAATCATCCTTAACCGAGTCGGAGCCAAGAAGAGCTCGAAACCTCGTGGTGAGGCATGCGCTATGGAGTCGTGAACTCACGTTGTGGGAATGGCAAAAGTTTACAGCTTGAATGACTTGCCATGTGATGCGTTTTGTCAATTGTTCAGGAACTCTGAAATGTAGGGGAGCACATTGGTGGTAGGTGAGCGTCGGGAGATACGTGCACCGAGAAGTGATCAAAACGACCGTGGGACGAACCCTTTGGGATGCTTTTCTAGAATATCCAGGACGGTCGCATCGCAGAACTCGAATACGAGATGCAGTTTCCTCTTCCGTCTGAATACCTCTAATAGGTTCACAAGGTTCGGGTGTTTCAACAACTGCAAGTCGGGACAGCTTTTAGGTGACCAGCTGATGAACTCTCGAAATCCGACAACTGCGACACCTCAGAACGAGAATTGACCGAAATGCGATTCGGATCCGGATTTCGACCCGGCGGCGCGGCGTTTCGTGGGACAGCGAGAGTTTAGAAAAACATCGAACAGTGGCGCACGTTGATACCGTGGGGGTCAGCGAGTCCAAGGACGTCGAGCGGTCTCGCTTTGACGAGTCCGCTGGCGGCGCCGGGTGGATTCGTGGCCACATAATTGGATGTCGAATACGCGGTGCCTGAGGTAAAAGAAATTTGTACCCGCCGGGCTGCTGCGCCCTTCGGAGCACTGAGTGAGAGGCTGGAGGTCGCGGCACGCACCTTGAGCATGCGGATCTCTCTCAATGCAATCTTCTTGATCAAAATATCATCCTCGGTTTCTACGTATTTCTTGATGGCGACCGTCTGTCCTGTGTCTCGGTTGCGGCATTTGAACACGACTCCGTAGGAGCCTTCTCCGATCTTGGAAATCTTCTCGTATTTCTCCATTTCACCATGAGAGATGACCTGGAATTGAGGAAGGGGCATGAGTTGAAATTCAATGAGCCCATGCTGTTCCGAATTCATATCTGGCGGGGGGAGAGTTTTCCCTCTGATATCCGACGATCCCTCCTGGCAACACTCGAGCTCAGCGCTATTCGTACTGTACGTTCGCTGACCCCTTCAGTCCCCGCATGGTTCAGAGTCATTCGGGCCTCTCGCGTACATTGCTCCTCTTCCGGATGACTTCCGCTTGTGCGACAATCGTTTAGCTTGAGAGAAAGGCGGTCCGGAAGCTTGGCAGACTCCGTTGTCCTTTGGCAGCCAACACGAGTTCCCGATGGCGGTGTTGATCCGAAGTTGGGATCCGGCCATCCGATGGACCCTAGGTCGCGGTAGCTGGGGCGATAGTGGACTAGCCTGGCTCCTGGCCTATCGATACAGCCGCATTGATCTCATCAATCGTAGCAAGTTTCATCTTTGGTGGACGTTTCGCATTCCCCTCCCCCAGAGTTAAGTCCCAGACAAGCGGACTTCCTTTCACGAGAATATATAATTGGAAAGGCATTCACATTTCCCGTGGCTGCGTCCCTCGTTGGCGGAATTTTTCCTGCCTACATAGCACGGAATTTCGAGTTGCAGCTCAGCACTCCCCAGGTGGGAGCAAGAGCGCCGGCTGAGCTTTTTCGTTTGGTCGAAATCAACATCTAGCACGATTTCGAGAACCTCAATGACAACCTCACAGGAATCCGCACGATCCTCTTCCACTATCGTGGGGCTCTGCCTCGTGAATTAGCTGAGCCTATCCGTGTACTTCAAGAGAATTTTCGGGCTCAGGTCCATCCAGCCTTCCAAGCATCCCTTCCTCTGAAAGCATGGGTCTCGGAACGAGCCGCGAAGGAATAGGGTGTCCACAAGTATTGCCGTCGCAGAACTATAACCGGGATAGCTGATTTCGCAAAGATGAAACACTTGCAACCATCTACCACTGGATCCGGTCACTAACTTCTCGGGACGTTGGATCATCTCGGAGAGAAGTCCCCGTTGCTGAACTCGGAGATCACGCAACCTCAGGCGCTTCTCTCAGAGAGATGAAAAGCTCAAAAAGAACTTGCCTCTATGAAAGTTGTCGGGTCGACTCGCTCAATCCGCCATCGCAGATACTCCTGACATACAGCAGATTCGCGATGTGTTCCGTGGTCGCCTAGGAGACCGCTCACGGAATCAATGCCGTCCGGAGCCCCGACACGCAGTTCAATCTCAATTTTCGGTCTAGGATTATCACTTTCAGATACATCGACGCGCACATTGGAGATGTAGCGACTACCTTCGAATCGACCCGGGGCCGGGGTCTCTCAGTCAGTGTCGATTCGAGGCCGCTCGCGAATTCGCATCGTGTGCGAGTACAAGAATCCTAGCCCGCATCACGGTCCCGGGATGGGATCATGTTCTTCGATTCGATGCTGATAACGAAAGCTTCGTAGAAAATATCACGATCCTCTACTTGATATTCATTTATTCATTTTGGGATAAGTCAGGAATGTCGCATGTCAGCGGTCGTCCAAGGCGAACTTGATCGATCCTCCCCCGTTGTTTTCATCCGCTCCGAGGGCGGGCTGGAAAAAGGATTTTTACCTCGAACTCCTTGACTCTAGAAAGGACCTATCAGGCTGCGCCACACGTCAAGGAGACTCTGCTCGAGACTCACAACCTCTGCGGTCACGCGTGGGACCTACCGAAACGATGGGCGCGGAGTTCACCTCGTTGGCGTCCGCGTTCTGGAGCACGTCCTCATTATTGAGGAGATTCATATCTTGAGCATCCAGAACGCACTGCGTGGCCTGAAGGAAGGTCTTACGATCCGTCGCTATTGTGTCGAGTATCTTCCCGAGTGTGTTGGTGACACACTGAGTGCACTGCTTCCTGGCTCCAAGGACCACCAGGTCCATGCAAGCACTGTTGAAAGTGCTGACAACCTTCACGGGAACGGTTTTTCTCTTTAGATTCCAAGAGCTTCGCAGCTCCGAATCGTCCGATATTATATTATATTAAAATATAATATTATTATATTATAATCGTCCCTCCGAGACGATCGGGAGGATGCGGCACGGGCACCAAGCGAATTCATTCCGCCGACGATCACTCACATTTTCTGCACAAGACTTGAAAGATGCTTTGTATTGCTCATAGGTGGAGTTGATGTTAACCGGCGAGTTGGTCACGCACGCATCACAACTTCGCTTGGCCCTCTGGGCGAAGTAGTAGGTCCTGTTGCCGTAGTGGCGACGCTCATTCAAAGTACCCTACTTGTTGGAACCATCGTTAGGGAGAAGGAAGTATGGGTCTAGAAATACATATAGCAATCAATCGTCGCTGCAGCCGAATGACTTGCCGCTTGCTTGTTCGGATGGCCCTGATATTTGACCGCGCGGAGAGCTGCGACTTTATTGCAGAGTTTAATTCGAATTTCCAACTTCGGATGGAGCTGCCGGAAGGATACATTTCTCCTTAGATATCTTCGAGATCATCATACGACCCATCTCGGACCGATGGTTCCTACCTCAGGAAAAGAACTCTGAGATCGTCCGCCACAAGGGACACTTGTAACGATCCACCGGCGCGTGAGGGAACCGCTACGTTCGTCGGTCAGAATTCTAGGCACGATCGAATGGGGGACCCAGGGTCACTCACCGGAGGTGTGCATCGGTAGGAAGCCGCTTGTTTCTGAGTGGGATAGTAAGGGGATTGAATTCTCATAGAGCTTCAGTCGACGGCCCTCTCAGGATACTCAATGAAATTCAACGGAGTGAGCGAGCGAACTCCACCTGTGCCTTAGTTGCGTTCTCGCCCAGATTCTCATTGGCGAAGCAGGACCGGCATTCTGCCAGAGACTTCATGTTGTATTCAGTCCGTGTGACGTTCTGCAGGACATCGGGATCAGACCAATTTTAGGCCAACGGAGAGCTGATGAGAGCATATCGATATGAAACCATTAGAAACTCACCGGACCCTGATACGGTTTTCCGGGGAAGACTGACTCCCAGTTTTCGCGACGGCGACGTTCGGATGCTTCCACGTTTCGCCGGTTAAAGCGAATAATCCGGTTCCTCAAATCAGCTTCTCTACAAGTGAGCGCCAACCTCTCATTGGCATTCAACTCCGGCAGGCAGCTCCGCAGTTTTGACAATGCCTTGGACAGGAAAATAAATGCACGGGAAACAAAATTCATCTCCATTCGGGAAAGGGATTAGAATTCAATTCGATAAATGGGAAATACTTCGTAGGTACCGTGTAGGGTTCCATGTCTTCTGAGAGAAACGTATCGTTTATGCAAGTCTGGCACATCAGTACTGTTTCCGGCCTGAAGTGGTCACTACAATACTGGAGGTGATTGCCGCGAATTAACTCATAGTCGTATTGATACCTGGAAAACGAACGATAATTAATTATTTCTCCGGCATTCTGCGTTGCAGCCCTGCTCATCCCGGAAATGAACAAATTCATTCCCATGATTCGCGAGCCTCGGTACAATACGGAACAGGATACCGCGCATGATATCGACACGAAAAACGCCAACCGTATGTCGCGGAAGGATCGACCGCGGAACACGGTAGCCATCGTTCTGAAGGACGTTCCAGTCCGCACGCAAAGTCGACGAGCCTTGACGTACTCGTCAAAGGTGATACTCGCTGTCAGATTGAGACCGGCCGACACGAAGCACTGCTCACATTGCGCCGTTGTTCGATGTCTCCTTATCTTAGGGGAAAATAATAGGCTTAGCTCATTAAGAGCCGCAACTCAGGAAGCTTCGAGTGTGCATATTTAAAGTTCTCCTGAGCCAGTTTCGAAGATACCAAGTTGAGCGGATGGAAGCCATGGTTCCTCTGAGCGCTGCATTTGCTCAAAAGGAAATGAGTCATGTTGAACTGTCGAGAGATCGAGATGCAGCGTCAGACCTCAACGGATATTACTTTTTCCGATCGGACCAAGGCATACCGCTCGAGTCTTCACCTCACTATGCGGGGCGAACTCACGTATTGTGTGCAATCGTACATTATCCGATGAATGAGTTTATCCTCCTCTTCGAGCTCGAACATTTTGTTGTGCCACTTGAGGGCGCAATCGTGGCATTCCTTGGCCGTATTACGGAACTGGGGGATGCGTTGAACTTCACCGACGAAGTCTCGAGATTCAATCCTTTGCAACCAACATTCGGGATACATACATGAACGGGATCGTGATTCCGGATGCACAACTTGGCGGCGAGCTTCTGGATCGTTGCGAAGTCATGGCGCATTGGCTGAAATACGTGATCGTTCGGAGCCGGTTCGTGAGCGCCTCAACCCGAGCGCGCGCCGCCAAAGATTTTTTTCCGCATTCCCTCTCAATACCTTCGTGTCGAATCCTAGAGAAGTTAGATTGAGAAGAGCAGGAGCCTGCCATGCTGACGAGACACATAGGAGAAATTGTAGAGCAACTCTCATGCTTCTTCAGCTCACGTTGCTCTGGGATTAGACGAAATGAACCGAGATGAGCTGAAATCTCTCGTCTGTTCGAAAGATGGTCGAGGATGTCGACCGATCTCCATTCGTGTCCTTGTTTCGGGGCGCAGGTTCGGCGTCACGGAATGCGTGAACGTTTTACCTCAGGAGTCACGAAACGCAAATTGAGAGTCGAGCTTCCCGTATCCATTCAATCGCGCTCGTAATTTGAACTTTCTCCAAGAGGCTTGGAAAATCCGAGGACCGTCTCGACGTCGAGAGTCGATGACGCCCTCGACAACAGCTCCGCTTTGCCGTGAGCTTCGATTGAGCGTTGCTATGATTTCACAACGATTTCTACGAGTCCCACAATGGCAATGGAAATAATAGAGTCAAGTTGCATTCACGAGCACCAACGACATGAGCAAAGATCCATTATTCAGAGGTGATGCCCGAATGCGAGCGGGCTGTGGAGAATCCTTCGTCTTTCATATTCGTACTCACTCCGTTGAGTAACGGAAGAGAAAACTGCGCGGAAATGTGGTTCTCCCCTCCGACCCCTCAATAATAATTCGAATTATCATTTCGAACTCATCCGGAAGCCTTGGTAAAGTCTTGGAGAGACGCAAACCCCAAATATCTCTATACATATTTCTGCATCTGGAATTCTTACGGGGAAAGAAGAAATGAAGCGGTTCGGGAAACTATCATTCGCTCTTTTTCCATTCGCCATATGTACATTTCCACTCTCGTAAGGCTCGTCGAAAGGGAGCAGAACTCAATTGCGTCCATCCGGGTTCACTCCAATTGGCCTCGGCTCTCTCCATATAGGTCGAAGGCCGAAGAACTTGTCCCGAGCGATTCGCTTCTTCCTTTCCTTGATGCCCTTGATTTCTGCTTCGTACATCTCTTTGTTGAACTGTGGAGCCATCAAAGCAATTAGCAAGTTCATCGCCCCGGATCAGCCGAAGCGTTACGGTATGACAGTGGATAGGACCGATATTCCGAGGGTATTCTCACCTGGAAGATATGCTGCGCCTTCGGACGCGGTCGTTCCCATTTGAGCGTCGGCGAGGTTGGCATATCTTCACCACCCATCTTGAAAATCTTCACCCACAAAGGTATCTCGTAGTCCAGGCTTTCGGACACATAGAACTTCCTCGCGGCTAGGTCCTTGGCTAGTTTCTCTCCGCGAGCAAGGAACTCTGCCTCGACGTCCGTGTCGGTATAAGGTCGAGGGTCTTCCACCGTCTTCCGCGGCGCTCGGACCGTCTGCACGATTCTTGACAGAACGGAAGAGTTCAAGCCTGGAAGGATAGAATGTACTCCTCAATCCTGAGTGAGATATCGAGACAAGAGGTCAATGAAGGCGAAAATGTATGATTCGTATCACTGATGACCGGCAGGAGGTTTTCAAGATTTCCCGGCCATCGCGAAAACTTCCGCCATACGTATCAACGGAACACTTCCATCAGGATGAGCCTCACCCTGAAGCTTCCCATCCTCGATAGAATCGTAGAGTTTCATTTCCTCGGAACTCCAGGCGAAATTTCGCTTGTCTCTGGAGAAATCCGGTCCGAATGCCATGGTGTCCAGCTGGTACTTCGAGAAATGCCAGTTCTGCCCATCACTGACAACGTGCTGAGCCACGAACGGGTACGTCACCTGGAATGGGAACGAAGTTGGAATCTGGTGACTAGGCTCTCGACCGATGGATCTGTCCCCGAGAAGATCCCATTCGAGATTGCAAATACCTCGTGGAAGGGCGTGAATCCACAGGAGAAGGCTGAGCCGGCTGCTGTCGCAAAATTCAACATCAAACCGTGAGCGGCTAAACGCCGCCTCCTCTCGGACACATTCAAATGATCAGTGCCTATGCTCGGGTCCAAGCTCGACGGCAGCACCTACGGAGATTATCGAAAGTCATGTTAACATTCCCGATCTCACGAATCAGAGTGACAATGTAAGTGAGTTCTATCGCCCAAACCTCTTTCATTGAACTCAACGTCAGCAGGGGATACTGAAGAGCGTTGCACCAATATCCTGCTGTGCTGACCATCCTGTGCTTTTTCTTTTGCATCCCCAATTCTTCCGGGTAGTAGTCATAAATCGGGAGCTCAGCTTGGAAGATCTCTTCTGACGTCGAGGCGATGACCGGCTCGAGCGGTATCTCGCTCGAAATCTGTAGGTGAGGAGGACATAATGAAGCAGATGATTTTATCGATGCACAAAACATCGACTTCTTGCTCAGATTTTTTCGCGATCTCCGCACCCCGGTCGAATTCGGTCAAGATGATCCAATCATAGAAACAGCGTTTTTTACCATCAATTGAGGATGCCCCCGAAATTGCAGCCAGGGCGCGAAATTCTCTTTGTCCTCGAATCTTGTCTCGTCTAAATTTGTCTTGAAGCTCGTGTGCTGCCAGAAAGCCTCGATCCGTGGCTCTTCCAGAACGACGGTGTCAGCCATTTTATAATGGTATCTGGAAAGTCAGATCACATTGACGAATTCTAGATCTATGGAAGCCGAATCGATCGTAGGGGACGCAAGTGCCTGCTGAATTCAAGACGGGTAGTCTATGATGCGCGACCTTATAGCATCGAGGATGGACCGGACGAGATTCCTCTCTCTAAATTTGAGGGATTCCCCTGTCTGCGGCTCGGTCAGATGGCTGGTCAGGATGGCTTCCTCGATCCACGAGACGAGCTCAGAATCGACCTGGAAGAAGCGAATGGATTATTTAGAGGAGACAAAAAGTGACCGTCATCGAAGTCGGTACCGCTTTTGCCTCACATGTCTGAGCGACAATCCTCAGGATTTTTCGGGAGCCTACCGTCTGAGCATCGGTTTCCGCAGCAGGCTGCTCCATTTCGTGAGTGGTGCGCGTGGCGTACTGGTACATATCGAGGGAGTTGTAATGGAGATCCCCGATGTAATACATTTCCCTGTAATTTCCGAATACTCAAAGAGAGCCTCTGGCAAGCTCAGACAGCAGTTTTCGTGCGAGTGTATGAGCGGAAATGTCCCAGAAATCGATTGGGATAATGCTTACTCTCGGCCACGTTCCGTATTCAATATGAATGACTTATGGTGAGCGGTGGGCATTCTCTTCACTTCATCGTAGTGCTTCTGCCTCTCCCTCAGGGCCACCCCCTCGGGGCTCATATCCAGAATCTTGAAAACCCGAGGATTAGTCTAAGCTTCCTTCCGCTATCGTCCCTGAGAGCGCCCGCTTGATCTTTTGAAACTCACCTCTGGATATTCGGGCTCTTCGCTGAAGAGCGTGCCATCGGAGGGAGTCTTGAGGGCCGCCATTTCGCCGTGAGTTTTATAGTTATTGTAATGACGTTTCTGAAGATTCCCGAGGCATACGGTCTGCCTCGTCTCCCCGCACGGAACGCACTCGGGATTCGGAAAGTTTCGGCAAAGGCTCCGAGCCAATGCCGGTGCGCGGAGAATTCGGCATGCCATTACTGGCTGGTGAGGTTTGCACGGGTGCTCCGGCAGGAGAGGTCCGAACAAGCTCAACTCGATCGGCCTCGAAAATACGATTGCCGCTATTCACGGATCTGCGATAGGTCCGGGGAAATTAGGGAAAGGCTCAAAGAAAACCCCTCCGTGCTCGAGTTTTCTCCTTCCGAGTTGCTCAAAACAATCGACACACCACCTTTCTGGCGCCTTGTCAGGGAATGTGGAGAGAACAGACTCACGGCGCGTGTTTTGCGAGAAGATGAGGATCTTCAGGCCCCGACAACTAGGCGATCATCAGCTGAGTCACAAACGAGTACGGAAGAATCGCGAGTCTTTCCGGATTAGGAGTCAAGATTGTCGTAGTGTCACTACTGCCATCGGGTTTGAGGAAATTCGTTCCGTTCCCCGTTCCGGACGTTCAAGATCCGATCCCTAGGTTCCCCGAATGTCAATATCATTTATCATGGGCTATATATGGATGCGATCGATCCATGTCGGACTTATCCAAGTCGATGTGAGAATCGATTAAACTTTGAGCTGACGTTCGACTCCCTCACGCAGAGGGCGCAACGCGCCCGCATCCATCTGATAGACGTTGGAAGGAAATTGGCACAGGGAAATCCTGAAGGTAGCCTCCGGGTGCTTCATCAGGCTCCGGGGCCGACCTAGATAATGCCCGCTTGAGGCCTGGATTTTTTGAATAGTCATAGAATCCTTTGATGGAGATCATCAGGGCAGACACGGGTTCAGGTCCAGGGCCTCCCTGGGAAACACAGATCTGCACCGAAGACTCTGTTCCACCCGTGGAGCTCCGGAAGAAGATGCTACGGGGAGGGTTCATATCCTCAGCCACGCAAATCGCGAGCTCAATGCTTCGACCGCCGTCACAAGTCTGTTCTCGATGAGCTCCTCATGAGTCATGAGCGGTTTCTGTGATAAGGCATTCGAGTTAGACGCAAAAATCGGAAACCGCGAGCCCCGGTATGACTTTTCTACTTCCTTCAGTTGCTTGCGGGAGCTCAATGCGCTACGATAGTCCCAACGAAGCAGGTCTCAGTCAGTACAGGCGCTCGAGAATTTTCCGGTCGGACTAGCAGGCTGTCTGACCGGCCGATCTGGTGAGTCATCCTCTCCTCGGCGCTCCACCTACCCCTCACCCTGAAGCGTCCTTTCGTTCCATTGACGCTGTAACCCAAACAAGCCCTTCCCTCAAGCGAAGTAGGAGAACAACAAGCAATATTTTTACGCCTAGCTGGCTCTCAACCGTTGCTCTTTCCCATAGTGACTGACGGTCGTCTGCCGTCTCAGAAAACGGCTTTCACTGACTGAGGGAGTCCGCCTCCAATTTAGAACTGGCACGACGAATCGCTGCACTAGCAAGTCAACCGAACTCGCTGATCGGAGAGCCGGCCGCCGACGAGGAAGTTTCTCTTGTGTTAGCGCCGAGTCCGAAGCTCCTTCGAGTGAATTCCTTCTGCTCTCTTTCGAATCGGTACACTTCAAACGCAGTAGTTCGATCATCTTCGTCATTGCTCGCGAAAAACTTTGAGTGTGTTCAGTCGCCAAGCTGCGCATCATTGGATAATTGTGATCCAGCCTCGCTAAGCCGTGTCGTCGCTGAAGACTCACTTCACACCGTCAGCTTCAGGTCGGCGCAGTACCTCCACAATATTAGTGACCGCGGATACTTTACCACCCACTCATCTGCGAACGGTCGGATTAGGTGAGATGCGTGACGTAAGCCTCATACATGTAATCACGTCTTAGTTTCGTGATGCGGAATTTCAAATTCCGAAGTACAGATGAAACTTGATGATTCGTGAGAGTCTGGCGAATCGGCCGCAAGAATTCAATAGTCGCTTCAGCTTACGATCCGACAAGCCACTCTATGTACAACTCCAGTGCGTATCCGAGAGTGAACGACATCGTTTCCAGAGATGTTATTGGATCGTTAAGGAGACCCTCGAGCACTTTGCCTCCGGATAAGGCTGAAGCGAAAACGATCGTGTCCAGAAAATCTTCGACGTCTTCTCGATCTTCAAGATGTTCCGCTTCGGCTCAAGAAAAGCTAACAGACAGGAATACAGGTGCACCGTGCGGCTCCTAGACGATGACGAACCTCCCATCAATTGTGACTTTCAGGTATTTGCTAGGGATGGATCCCTCGATATTCTTGACTGTCATTTCCGGCTTGTGAATAATTCGGCATCCTCAATCAGAATTGGTCTTCTCAAGCGTAACGCCACGTCAAATTCTGATCTCCTTCGCTTCTTGAGCCATGAAACTGAGAGAACCGAGGAACATAGTTCCGGCTGGGTCTGCCTAGACAGATCGACGCTTTTCGCGCGGAAAATCGCCGTATCTGACGACTCCCAAGCCGGAGGCATCCGGGAGCCTAAGAATTTGGACACCTGAGCGGCAGATCTTCTTTTTCTTTTCCAATCGCCTATTGATCTTCCATTCGACGTTCGCTCTGTATCGGTGATGACCCGGGCGTATCCCTTGGAAAATATACCGCGAACGAAGACCTTCCGAAGACTTTCGCTTCCGTAATGTGTACCTCATGGAGAGTTTTTCCAATGAGCCTATACCGCGGGAATATTGATGCATTTGTCCCACATGAGGTCTTTATACTAGCGTCGAGCTACCGTGGCTGACCTAACTCAGTAGCGGGGGACGACCATGGGAGGGAGAGTTCTTGGAGCATGCGAGGGAGCGCAGCCTTTGGGTTTCTCCAGAAGACGGTCCTCTCCAAGGACTTAATTTTTGTCCTAGGGGAATCACATGTGAGGTTTTCCCCTGACGAACGAAAATGAACTGGCAGAGGAATATACATCGATTTGTGCCTCCACAGCATGTGTGCTTAGGCCAATACGTCCTCGACTTCGTATGCTCGAGCATAGGATTGCTCGAGAAGGACCTCTTTGGCTTACGCTATGTCGACTCTCACAACCAGAGGAGGTGGCTTGACCTATCCAAACCTGTTCTAAAGCAGGTAAGTTCACTCCCGACTATGCGTCAGAAGATTCGAAAACTTTCAAGAATTAGAGGGAATTTTCTTCATACTTGCGACTGCTACGCTCCACAGGTGAAAGATATTCGGAATGTCGTCTTTTGCTTCAGAGTCAAATTCTATCCTCCGAATCCGCTGGATCTCAAGGTGAGTGAGTTGCGAATGTCCCGTTTCTGAATGAAAACGAGGGAATCCACGACCTGAAACGATGACTCGGACTTGTTTCTCCAGGAGGATTCCACGAGATACCAAGTCTATCTCCAGCTGAAGAGAGATTTGAGCCATGGACGTCTCAACTGCACGCAGAGCGAAGCTGCGCTCATGGTAGCTTATGTGAAGCAAGCTGAACTCGGAGACCACGAGGCGCCGTCGAATCAAGGGGACGCACGAGCTTCGAGCGAGAGCGGGGACGAAGCACAGTCGGCATTCAGTGCGAGAATTCTGCCAAAACATTCCCAGGTATGAAATTCCGGGGAGAATAATCATCAAGCGTCATGTACCCATTGCTTCCTGTCCAAGGAGGGAGGACCTGCCGCCTTAATCTGGTCAGGAGGGAATATGAGTGATTCCGAGTGAATTCGCCTCTTTATAGGAAATCGAGTCTCGAGTGGATCGTATACACGAGACACTGAAGGGCGTGTCGGCCACGGACGCCCAGGATTTCTTCCTGAAGGTCAGTTTCTAGAAGAGGAAATGACGAGCTATTGGTTTCTATCCGCAATAATTTACCATCCGATCCTATATGCACGGAATCCAGAAAACCAGTGGTGACCTCGACGCAGAAAATTAAATCCCTTGTCTTCTTCGCCGCAGCGCGCAGCTACTTTGGAAAGCTATGGCATTGATCCGCATCCAGTCAAAGACGAACACAATACGCAGCTATACATCGGTGTCAACTACTTGGGCGTAATGACGTTCCGGGCCGGCAAGAGGGACCTTCATATCAGGTAACCCTGAGAGTATTCGATAGCATCTTGCCATGCTAGACACATGCGTGCATCATATTTAGTCACTTTTCGGTGAACAATTTATTTTATGTGAATGCGTTATATTGCCGAAGAATGCCCCCGGGGAGGAGGATTCCCGAATTAATTTTTGGACCATTGTGATTTCCAGATTCGACGACCTCGTTAAGTTCAACTACGAGGGGAAGATGTTCATTCTTCATGTCATGACAGCCGGATCGAATCGTAAACAGGTAGGCTGCTGTTCTCGTCCGCCTAAGGGCTGGCGAGTCGGTCGAGCCGAGCTAATGAGTTACGTCGTTTGATTTCATTCTAATCCTCGGCGGAACTTCTCCAGGTCATAGGCTTCCGGTGTCCCACGCAAGCAGCCTGTCAATACCTATTTGCTTGTGCTAATGAAATCCGATGTTTCTACACGTAAGTTCCATTCGAGACTCCATGTGAGACGCCGCAAAGTTATCTCCGTGACGGGTCAGTCATTCGAAGCTCTCGATATTTTCGCAGGAGCATCCCACCACTCGTGTCGAAAAAGAACACGCTTTCCCGCGCCATGTCCATCCTGAAGAAACGCGAGAATTCCGTTGCGTCTCTAGCACCATCCCAGATGAATCTTGCGCCGAACAACCTTAATTTCAACAAAAGCGGTCTATCCGATCATCGCGAAGATAATTGCAAGGTTCGTTTACCGATCCGATCTTCACCAGCCGTCGGCTGTGAGCTTGCCGTCGGCTCGATGGGCAGACGCAGGACTTGAATATTCTGAGTTTTCCCTATTTTATTCCAGACCGAGGTCCGCGGAGCCTCTGATATCGACTCATTGATGGCGCATTCTGAAGACGAGGATGAACTGAAAGGACAGCTCAAAACACCGCTAATCACACCCACCGTGGACGCTACGCCAACGAAGCAAAACTCGAAGGAAAACGGCGACGTATTCCAGAGCACCAATGTATACGGACCCGTCGACTCACCGATCGCAGAGCATCCCGGTACGATGGAAATCGCAAATATTGGGAAGCAAGTTTTGCTCCTTTCGGGTGTCGCTGAAAGAAGTTCCCACTCTGAGCAGGAAAGATGTTCATGATGATGACTTTTTCACCACAGAATACACCATCCTGGAGTGTCAGTCGAGCTCATCAATACTCCGTCACGCTCAGATGCTGGCCTTCACGGCGCTTGTCATGCTCCTGATCATCAGCGTCACCGCTATCGCAGTTATGGAGAGCGATTCTGCCCTCTTCGAGGAGGTTTGTTTCCGAACCCGAATCTTCGTGGCGTTTATCTTCGTCTTTCGATTATAAATCCGTTGATGACCCGCGTATTGAGCTCATTCCGGGATTTATTACAGGTCAAATCATGGCCACCACTGGTGATCCTCCGACGCGAATATTATCATCCAGTTAAGAGCTTTATCAGCGGCCGAATGTCTTTTGACTACTGAACTGACCGAGCTCCATCTCACGGAATCATCTCGTTTGTCGGCAGCGGTTAACATTCTTGGGAAAATGAGAGGCGAGTGAATTCGGAACTCAAATCCTGAATGGTTGTGTGTGTCGTGACGGGCAGCTCCGACAAGTGAGATGATATCTCAGCGATTATCGCATCGGCTCATCCATCGGCTTTGTGTCTATCATCATTAGGTTCCTTACTGGACCATACTGCTTAATGGATATTGATTATTCTACTCCCATTCACCCTCTGTATATTGTATATCTGTATATCTGCAAGGCGTACGAATCGCCGCCAATCGCTCGCATTCGGGAACAGCTAATCTCACGTTATCATGAGACGCCTCCGACCGAACAAAATGATCATCCAGTACATACGTGTTGCCATTATGATTCCCTCATTGAGCGGAATCAGTTTATGCAAAGTCTGCGCCGAAGCTTACGTATACCGGGATCCCATCCTCAATGCTTACTGCCAGAATTACTTAATAATTTAACTTATTCCACAAGCTCCTAACGGACGTTCGCCCCAATCTAAGTCTATTGACCTTATTTTGTCGATATAATGCACCTTGATTTTACCATTCTGCATTCTATCCTCCATTCCATACATTCTTCGCTATTCATGAGAGGAAACATCATCATCATCATCAAATCGATCAAAACTCGTAAGGTAGTCGCGGATCTAGTCTATCTGTTGATATTCGGAGAGAAATTTAAGGTATATAATTCAGAATGAAGAATAAAACAAAGACTTCTACACCATGGTCGCTCCTTCACTGATCAGGCCAGGGGTCGGAATCCGCCATCGATTGATAGACATACGGAATTTCAATTTGTGCCGTCCCAGTACTCTGTCGGAGCTTCGGAACACGCCAAAGAATCTATGCCGATGGATAATCCGAGATGCGCTCCGTCTCTCGGGATTGTAACATTCAGAAAACGGTCACGGGCAGTCGGGCAATACAGGTGCGAGCTGCAACTTGCGACCCGACCATTTGCAAAATGAACTGGCCTTCTGACTGAAAGTAGCAATGAGATTGAGTTCGATAAAACTGTAGGTTCGCCAATAGTTTTTTTGGAAGAACTCCGATCCATGCAGCGCATCCCGCTGGGGATCGTGAAGAATATGTTCCAAGTCGTTCCACTTGCCAGCTGCATACGTCGCATATAAGAATACGTTGCATGAGCGCTGTTCCACGAGCAGCTCCCACAGTGGAGGGGGAGCAGCTGAGATCGATTCCGAATCTACATAAATTGACCGATCGATCCATCCCGATCGGGATATTCTCATTGGAGGACTGCTCCATTCGCTCGACGCCCTTTGAGTCAGGCCAAAGTGCTGACCTCTGGATTACCTGTTGCTCACTCCCTGCGAAACTTCAGATTCGTTCCATGGATTCCGAGGACAGAGAGATCAAGATGCGCCCGCTACCGTCGAGTAGATTATTGATCCTCTGCTTACAGGTCACAGGAGTTAATCCTGTCGCCTGGAAGTCACGCCAATACGTTCCCTCGAGAACAAGCGCGATTCACCTGATTGCTGGCACACTGATGTTGATCGTCGCACCGATAGCGCCGTTCTCATGGTTGGCGGTCCACAGAATGAAGTTCGACGGAGATCCGATCCGTTATGAGCTGGATTTGTATCTCGATTGTCTCTACAGCACGATCGTGTTCCTGGTCGGTCTTGCGGACATTTACATTTTTTCTCGGCGGCGGAGTCTGGCGAAAGCTCTGAATCACCTCCATTGCATCTGGACTTGGTAAGCGCCGTCTTTACCTCGCCTTGAGTCAGCTCGAACTGAGGAGATGATGATCTCTGGGACAAGATCCGTTACATATTGTACATTCAATTCTTTACATATTCGGCAATTGTATCGAACTGCCCCTTCCCAGCTCCGGAGCATCCGGGTCAGGAGTGGCTTCTCTGAGCCTCATCGGAGGCCTCGTGAGTCTGGTTTTCTTCGTTTGGCTCCAGTGTAGCCTGGTTCTCAGGGAAGTCGTCCACAAGAACACGAGCCCGAGTGCGTTCGAAATTATGAAATCATCCTTGGTTGGATGGCTGATTTACATGGGCTTCTTGACTCCTGTGCTGCTCCTCTCTCTGATGGTGTTCATATATGGTTCCTTGACAAATGCTTTGAAGCATTTTCTCGAGAAGACGGACTACGCGGAAAGAGACACGGAAGAAAAATCAGCGGTAAGTAGTCGCACGATGTTTGCCATGCACGAAATCGGCTCAGAGAAAATAAGGCTCAAGGGCTTCCAGGTGATCTTAAGAGATGTCCTAGAGCTGACGAATGAACTCTCTTCGTACATATCGCCGATATCCGCAACATGTTTTGGAGCCTTGCTCGCCTTGGCCATGCAACACGTGTTCCTCCTCATGAATCCCATGACGCGTGCGTCCGTCAACCCTCGATTCGTAGCATCCTACTGGCTCTGCGTGATTTCTGGACTCATCATCTCACTCAAGTTAATTGATGTGTTGTCAAAGCAGGTATGTAGATACGAGCTCGTTCACGAATTTCTATCAACGAACAGTCGCTGCTCCCCCTGCGAGCTCCTCCGGCGACAGCACTCTTCCGGTGGGAAACAGTAGATTCTCATTCCATTATTTTGCTCCAGATAAGTGAATGGCGACTCGCGCTGGAGGACAGGGCTGGTGCGATCAAGGATAGCCTCCCCCTTCTGAAGCGAATCAAGCATCCCCCAACAGTGATTGGCCTGTTCGAGCTGCGTCTTGGAATTCTCCCATCGGTGAGAGTTCGCAGCAGGCTCAAATACCAGGTTGCGGGAGTCTTCCTATCTGATTTCGAAATTTAACTATTCATTGCTCTTCTCACAGATAGCGGCATTCGCTTTTAGCTACTTCATGACTGTCTTGCAGCTGAAGACAATCATTGTGACTTCCACCATTCAGAAACCAACGAATTCATGTACATCCAGAACGACTTGAGGGTATGATCTTGAAGGCATTTCTCTGACTTTGGCTCTCCTCATTCACGTCCTCCAATGAACGTCTGCTGAGAGGGCGTTATCTCCCCGTGGCATACGAAAATTAAGAATCCACGAGGAACGAATCGTCTCATGTATGCTGTTCCGAGACGAGCGGCGACTTTCCCAAGGATGAGATCGCCCTCCCCCGTTGAATGAATGAAAAATTTGCAGGCTAGACCTCTAGGATCTTGGAAGAAGATTTTGCCGGGAGGATCGAGCCCGTGGACCCGCACGTTGGCAGGCCGCAGGGATTGAACCAGCGCCGGCTCCTTGGCGAGCGCCGCCGTCGCGGCTTTCCGCGAAGTGAGTTCCATGAGAAGTGACGGGAGCGCTAACCCATCGACCACCAATCTGCTGCTTCTCTGTTTCAGCTGCAGTCTAGCAGCCCCGCTTCCCCGCCGATTGCCATACCTAGGGCCCCGATTTCCCTCCCCTCGGTTCCGACGTGAGATCAATATTCTGAGCGAAGCCCCCACGAATTCAGCAATGAAAAGATGAAGTGCTATCAGTCAGCAATGTCCATTTGGAGAAACTCGAGTTCCGATACGAGTCGGAGCAAACTCATCGGGCATCATAGAAGTGCAGCTTGAACGCCGGAATCCAAGCGAATCGAGTTCCGAGTTCACGTACACATGTATAGTGAAGATCATTGATCTCCTTTCCGAGAAACCGTATTTCACATCGCAAACTGACTGTTTCATTAGCCTTCCTGGAGGGGTAAACCGCTGGGAGGTACTGCCGAATCAGAACGCGATGCTATTGACAACCGTACAACAAATCCGCTTAGTTCGTATCAGATCGATCTCGTCGGACCTCTGCACGCATGAACCACGTTGCAATGAGAGCCGCCCATGACGGGCTGCTTGGGAACAGTGAAGTGAGAACTCCAGCTACCGCTGTCAAACATTGCAGCTGAGGCACCGCCGCGCCGTACCAGTCGAACTGAGACCGTGCTTCCGCGTCGACGAAAGCCTCTTTATTCAATGGAAAGCTCCTCGAGACGGCTCGTCATCAGCTTGACGGTCGTTCGATAGCAGAACGTAATTGAAACCATTATCCCATGAGCAAGGCCTCGAACATCGAATCCTCCGGCAGCTCTCCGAGCCGGAAACTTCACGCTCGCTGCGTGACCATCGTATCTCCCGCTTGTGTGGAGTAGTAGCGAACCAATGTCGACAATTGTAGACCGTTCGGTATAGGTCGGAGAGAACATTCTTCGATGAAGTCCGATTTCTTCACCTGCTCCTTCATCTCGAGACTCGTAGCCCACGTTGAGGCGGAGAGCATCACGGCGCTGACTGTGAGACCTGAAGACGATTCTATGCTTGAGGTGCAGCCATAGAGCGATGATTAAGATAAGTGTCATGGAACATTCTTTCTACACATGGATCGATCTGTCTCAAGATATCGTCAGCTATACCGTGTATTTCGATGTGAGCCTGGGCAAGCCTTTGTTTACACCACTGGGTGACGAAAGTCATTTGGGAGGCAGCTGCAGAAGCGGAGCTGTAGTTATTTATAGATCTCGCGCGTAAATAATGATTCCCACGAATAGTGACGGTAAGTCCAGTAGATATTCACTGATTTTCGGGGTCAGCCGGAACAGTAGGAGGTAACCTCTGCAAAGCTTGGAGAATTGTTCAGGCTTCTCCATGGCTATGAATTTTCCGTCAACCATCAGAGCTGCTTTGTTCGAGCCAAGACTACAACATTCATCCAGCGAGTTCGTCGTCACCACAATGGTACAATCTGCAGACGGAAGAATCGGTGAATTCCTCTACGATACGGGCTCGGACACTGCGCAACCAAGCCGTCTTCCCTCCTGCATACATTTGCCTCTCATCTGGGAGATGACCTTGATCACATTAGCTCTGTGATCAGCCGATAAACCCTCCAGAGGATTATCCAGCAAAATCGTTTCTGGATGACCAATGAAGGCAGAGCAGACAGCGAGAACTCTTTTCTCCGATTCATCGAGTTCGCAGATAAGGCTGCAAGACATTCGATCATGGTAGAATTCGAATACTCCAAGGAAAAATGAGATTCCCAACTACCACAGCTCGCTTGTGGCACCCATGGACTCTAAACCGAGGATACCTTCTCTTCTTGTCTTTCATCTGGAACATTTTGAGAACGAGATCGATCTGTCGGTGCGCCCATCGTAGATGAACGCCGCGCATAGCACAGAAAAGAGTTAGGAGTTCCGCTACGGTACATTGTTCGGGAATTTGGACATTTTCAGGAACAAATCCTATCGCTGTATTTGGCCCGTATTGAATTCTTTTGCCGTCTACGACAATGAGACCCTCCGTAGCCGACATACGACCCGCGATGACGTTAAGCAGCACGGTCTTCCCGCAGCCTCTCGGTCCGAGGATCGTGACGAGTTGACCAGGCTGCATCCAGCAGGTTATGTTGCAAAGAGCGTCTACGGATCCGATTCTTTTTGCGACATTCTTAAGAAGGACGCCTCTCTGAGTCTCAAGGCTTTTCAAGCGATGCACCAGAGTTTCCTCCGCAAGCAATCCCGGGCCCCAATGCAGGTTCCTTCGAACGGGGTTGGTGTTCACCCTCCGAACTTCCAAGAGTAATTTCTCCCATGCATTGAAGCTCGGCTCTTTCTCAGACCTCCTCGTGAACAACTTGAAGAAGAGAGCGACGAAAAACAGAATCTCCACAGAGTAGACGACGATGGGCAAGTTCAGGTCGTGCAATGTGTCGAAGTCCCATGGTCGCTGACAACACATTGAAAGAGCCCACGGTCGATGAGGGCATATCAGATTTCGCATTACCGGGGCCGAGCATACGGTTTGTATGCGAGCCCACAGACGGTACTCTGAATGGATCATCACCAGACCTGAGGAGCATAGTGTCTCATATCGTATAGCCTTCAGCGAGGAGGAGAATCTGCGCGGGCAGAATCGTCAGATCAATACATATGTATATCGGAGCGCTCACCGTACAAGGGGAAGATGAAGTAGGACAAGCGTCGCGTCTTAGAATCAACGACATTCAAGACTTGCTTCTCCAGAGAAATGGCGACGAAATAAATCGTCACTCCGATTAGAAAAAGCATGCTCATTTGCACGTCACGGAAACTGGTGAGAATCGCCAGGAGGGAAGGTTAGAACATTCCTTTGTAAATATGGGCGGTCTTTCTGTCGCGCCGTACGGAATTGACCCCTGCAGTATGAGAGTATGCCGTTCGAGCTCACTCTTTTTGGAATTTGGATATCAAACACAAGACCATCAACAAATGAACTGTCGTCACAAGGGACTGGATGACTGTGAGGTAAGCTGTCACCCTTGTGGGATACTCTCTGACAGCGTACAGCGGGATGATCTGCAGAAATCCGGCTGCAAAGAAAATTCAATCTAGCGCCGCGATCGGGTCGACCCGATGAGAACGAGGAAGATGTTTGAATCCTCTCACTCCAATGACCAATAACTTTGAGGGATATTCTGAGTCTGGTCAGCCTGGCATGCTGCCAATCTTAGGAAAGCGACCGACTCACATATAAGGAAGACGCTTGCAAGATGAACGACGACGACCGTAGTTATCTTGAGCCCCGAAAAATGGAAGTGATCCCGGGTAAAGAGGTAATGATGCCGGAGCAGGACCTTGGTGAATAGCGCCCAGATCATGACGTACAACATCATCAAGTATAGGGAGAATATGCCCGAGAAGTCCATCGAACCTGGACGGGGTTCGAAAGAAAAAAGTTATTTCCAGGGAGCCGTTTCCCGCATGGGAACTCCCTCCTGCGCCCACTATCCCAGTACCTCCTCTCCCCACAGCCTCCATCGACGTTCGGAAGAAGAACGCTCGTTTTACCTTGCGTCAAGTCGACGATCTCGCTTACTGAGTCTGCTTTGACCTCCCATTCGTACTGGTTCACATTTCGATGTTTCAGGTAGGCGTTAAGGGTAGATGTGTACGCATTGTACAGGTCAGCCGAAAATGCACCTTTCTTCAGTAAAAAACGGACTCGGTACATTTCATTGAATTTCCCAACGCCGATGCACATGGAACTTTTCTTCACGCAATCGCCGTAATCCGCTCGCGTCAGATTACAGATATCTACGTTCCTAGGAGGTTGAAATCAGATCGTGGATTAGGGAGCGATCGTATATTGGGCGGGTAGAGAGTGACATTCTCGCCTCGAGCCGGAAGAACAACTCGCATCGAACGGGCCAGAGCTCTCACCTTTTTCGAGAGATGCCCTCCGTAAGGTCCTTCAAGAACCGTTCTGATTCATTGTCGACCTTCTTGAACTCCCTCAAGATGCAAACGCTCCCATTTGACATGGAATCTTCTTGCCAGAGTCCCTGGTTGTACTCCATACTCGAGGTTCGTTGAAGTAAGAGAAATCCAACCAACGCGACGAACGCGAAACGAAGAACGATATCCGCCAGAAGGGCAACCAGTGCTCGATTTACGATCGCTGGAAAGATCTACTCTTCTGGAAAAATATCGGAGAGAGGATCCACGGCAGAGAGGGACCGATATCATGTAATGAGCTCGGGCGAAAAGATTATTCCGTGGGAGTAAAAGCGGCGTTACTTGAAAACGCCTTGAAAGAGTCCCACGATGGCCGGCCCCCAGCGTCAGCCACCTTACACCAATCGGACACGCTGCTCCCAACGTCTTGATAAACGGAATCGAAATATCCGACCTGTTCGTCCGACGGAATTCCTCCTGTCAGAGAGCCTTGAGTCGCTCATATGGTGAGATAAACTTCAGATCGAAACGAACCTTTCTCTCCGTCTGAAGCACTCGGAGATCGTTATCACTTATGACGAAGCTGAAGATCCCCAGAGATTCCTTGTTCTTATCGAGATGAAGGCACAAGTCACGTATTTCCTCGGAGCGCCCGGAAACACTGATGGTTATATTCGTATACTCGTTGTTCGACACCAGCATATGCTCCGTGAAATTCCCTACAGCGGACAGCAAGC